GAAACTGAGGCACGGCGATGTGTAAGTCACTTGCTGAGGTCTTGAGCTAATAAGTAGCAAAATCAGGATTGGGCCCCCCATCAGTTTGTCCCAAGTCCATACTTTTATTCTTTTTTAAAAAATTTATTCATTTAAAGTCTAGTTAGTTAATATGCGGCTTCAGGAGTAGAATCCAGTGTTTACCACTTACACATAACCCCCGGTGCTCACCCTAACAGGTGCCCTCCTTAATGCCCATCATCCATGTAGCCCATCCCCCACCCACTTCACTTCCAGCACTCCTCAGTTTGTTCTCTATAGTTAAGGGTCTCCTATAGTTTGCCTCCGTCTCTGTTTTTATCTTATTTTTCCTTCCCTTCCCCTCCCTTTATCTGTTGTGTTTCTTAAATTCCACATGTGAGTGAAATCATCTGACATTTATCTGACTTGACTTAGCATAATACACTCTAGCTCCATCCATGTGGTTGCAAATGGCAAGATTTCATTCGTTTTGATCGCCTAGTAATACTCTGTCGTATATGTACACCACCTCTTCTTTACCCACTCATCAGCTGTTGGATGTTTGGGCTCTTTCCATATTTGGCTATCGTTGATAGTGCTGCTCTAGACATTGGGGTGCATGTGTCCCTATGAATCAGCATTTTTGTAGCCTCTGCATAAATACCTAGTCGTGCAATTGCTGGGTCATAGAGTAGTTCTATTTTTAATTTTTCGAGGAATTTCCATTCTGCTTTCCAGAGTGGTGGCACCAGTTTGCATTCCCACCAACAGTGCAAAGGGGTTCCCCTCTCTCCGCATCCTCACCAACATCTGTCGTTGCCTGAGTTGTTCGTTTTAGCCATCCGGACAGGTGTGAGGTGGTATCTCATCGTGGTTCTCATTTTCCATACTCTTGACAGCACTTCTGTCGTGTCTCAGGGCAGAACCCACAGACCAGTGAGCCCAGCTGGTCTCCTGTCCCCTCACAGTAGGATGGTGGTGCCCTACGAGCCCTGCTGGGATCAGAAACCCTGACACTTTCTACCTCTTCTGAAGGCAGGGGCTAAGCGGTAGGTGAGCCACACTATTGAGTTTACTCGGCCAAAACCATCTGCCAACAACCTCTCCGCTTCCCACGTTGTGCCATTTCCGTGTTCACGATCACTGGACTCCTCCCCATGGCTGTTTATGAAATAGAACAGAAATGGATCCCATTCCAGCCTCTCACTCTGGACTCTTCCCAAGAGCTGTAGGATGCTACAGCCCTGGGGGAGAAGAGTCTGTGTAAATGTCAAACCCAACCACCCCCAGTCCTTTCTTCTTCCGTAGGTGGTGTGCCAGAAAAATCTTTAATATCCGTGTGAACCACGTCCCTGGGCTTCTCTTTTATACACAGAGGTTCCAGGCTGGCTCTTCAAATTCTCTTCTAACCTTGGTGTTTCAGAATGCGTCCGAGCTGTCCTGTCGTAATTAACAAAAATAAATATGTTGATTTAAATTAAAGAGAGGATCTCTTCAGGAAATGAGCTTCCCAGAGAGGCCCCACTGAGCCTGTGCTGATACTGCTTCCTGTGGGTCTCTGTTTAGATGGGCTCTTATCAAGTCTCTTATCTTTGCTGACTGGTTAAAATGTAACTTTGCGGGGCACTGAGATGGCCTTTTAAACTGCCTCTATAGTGTGGGACAGAGACTGATGAATAGAGTTTTATCGAAGTTCAAATGAGCCTAATCTTGCCGCCCCCAAATCATCTCTGATTTCAACCCCGCTGGCTGATTAGCTGGGCGCTCCAGAGGATGTAAAGGGCTCTTTCCTCCCCGTTCCCAAGCCTTCTCTGAAGGCTGATGTTCTGAGAAAACATCACAATTTATTAAAATGGTTCTGGTCCTTTAAGGACCGGAGGGGTGGAGGTGGGGCTCAGGTCAATTTATCAGGTTTACATAAGGCGTGGACCTACTCAGTGGCACAGGGCCAAGGTGCTGGGGGTGGGGGTTGTTTATTTGGAGTGTCTTCGACATCTCAAGCAGCCTTTGGCCAGTATGCCGGTCTCAGTAGGTCGCCTCAGCAGGAAATTAAAACTGGGTCCAATCGTGGTCTTAAGGACCCAGAGCCCAGCCTCTGGACCCTCTGGGGTGGCTCTTTAGGCAGTCCTGTGGCTGCCAGGACCCCGGCACCGGAGGGGCTTTCTTTGGAGGTATATTTGAAATGCCCGGCACATCATCAGTGTTCACAACTGTCCACTGCTCTGATCACTCACTCATTCTTTCATTCATTCATTCATTCATTTTTCAAGGCTTTTGTGCACATGTGTCCAGTGGACAGATTGTTAGGCATTCCAAGGGGCAGAGTAAAAAGTGTGACATGGGAGTGAAACGAAGCTGGCAATTCTCTCTGACGTCCCCCCTTGTGGGTCCAATGAACTCCGAAAGCACAAATTTGAGATAAAGCGCGAGGGACGGGGCAAGGTTGGCTCCCGTGTGTCAGGACTTACGTGCGATTATTACTCTGTGAATGCGCCACAGCGACACGATCCCTACCACCAGCGAGGTCTTCAGGAAGGTCTGGTGAGCAGTGCAAGCCATGCAGGGTGGAAGGAGAGAGAGAAAACAAGGGCGGGGTGGGGGGAGAAGGAAGGAGGGAGAACAAGTGAGCTAATACAGCCTGGAATGCACATGCTGTGCTAACCAGGCAAGATGCCAAGCTCGATTAACCCTCTGGAACGGGTAAGAGTAGCCATATTTAATAAATAGTACATTTAATATTCTTACTCTGGTATAAGAGGCAGGAGAACAGAGCAGGGTCCCGGGAACCAAGGGAGAAAGGGAAGCTGATGAATGGAGCCCCCCGTGAAGGGGTCGTGGGGACAGGTGACAGGGCGTCGTGAGTCAGCCTTCTGTTTGGAAGTGTTTTCTCAGCTTCCGTTCCTTCCCTCTCGCTCTCCACATGCCATTCCTAAATAATGATCCCTAATTTGGAAGCGCTGTGTCAGGGAGAGCCTCTTGAGTGGACACGAGCCGTTGACCTTATTTGCAGCACCTGAGAAATCTTAGAACGGGAGCACTTCAGTCAAACAGCATCTTAAACATTCAGGAACTTTCTAGATCATACAGCAGAGAAGGCAGACATGGGGATGAATCATTTTCTTCCCCAAGGAAAGAAAAGCTTTAAAAGGCCTCAAAAATAGCCCACAAAGACTAATTCCTGGTAGCGTCTTCCTAAGATCCTCCTTTCCTATGATGGTTTGCTTTGCTCTAGGAAGAAAAATAATGTTAATGTCCCTTCGTTAATAATTCTTACCTAATATCCGTGCAAAAGGAAGCAAAGAATTTGCCAAAAGATCTGGGAATCCGTCCCTGTCTACAGGCTCTCCCTGCCATTGCCCCAACATGGAAATCCCACCATAGCTACGAGTAATGCAGGGTCAGGGAGGTCCATTTAGTTCCCTTTCATGCCTTCAGTAAATATTTTTGTGCCCGTCTTTCCTGGGGAGCTCATGAGGGTCAGCTGTAATGGAGGTTGGAAACCTGGCCCATTCTCCCGGCTGGAAAGAGAGAGAGAGAGAGAGAGAGAGACATTTGTGACTAAGTGGGAGAGAATGTGGGACAAACATAAGATGTCTGCAGAGCTTAGCGGCTTCTCCCGCCTGCCAGCCTGGCCCTGCACAGAGGTAAAGGCTGCCAAGCTCATGTCAACAGGTCGAAGCTTGGGAGGGTCCCAGGGAGCTTGGCTGAGCGGGGCAGGCATGGAGCAAGAAGGAGTAGCGGCCGGAAGCGACCCCCGCCTCCCAGCAGGAAGCGCGCGTGACAGACCCCAAGAAAGCTGTGGGCAAGGACAGGAGCTGAGGGGTAGTAGTTCTTGGAATTCAGGTGGCAGGCACTGTGCTAGGTGTTTCTCAAGTCTCCTTTCTTTCTTTCTCTTTAGCACTGATTCTGATTACAACACAATGAGGGCGGCAACCTGAACGGGTGGGAAGGGCCACCTTGTAAAAGCAAATGCAGTATCCACGTGACTGCAATTAAAAATATATATATATATCAGGGGCGCCTGGGTGGCTTAGTCGGTTGAGCGTCCGACTTTCGCTTAGGTCATGATCTCACGTTTGTGGGTTCGAGCCCCGCGTCGGGCTCTATGCTGACTGCCAGCTCGGAGCCTGGAGCCTGTTTCAGTCTGTGACTCCCTCTCTCTCTGACCCTCCCCTGCTCACGCTGTCTCTCTCTCTCTCTCCTAGAAATAATAAATTAAAAAAAAAAAAATATATATAGATATNAAAAAAAAAAAATATATATATATATATATACCAAACTGGATGGGGCGCCTGGGTGGCTCAGTTGGTTAAGCATCTGACTTCGGCCCACGTCATGATCTCAGGGTTTGTGTGTTCGAGCCCCGCGTCGGGCTCTGTGCTGACAGCTCCGAGCCTGGAGCCCACTTCAGATTCTGTGTCTCCCTCTCTCTCTCTGCCCCTCCCCTGCTCGTGCTCTGTCTCTGCTTCAAAAATAAATAAAGATTAAAAAAATTTTTTTTAACTGGGAAAAAAAAAAAAAACCCAGCCTTCTCCTTTGGTAGGGAATCCCATCAGGTAGTTTAGGGAAGTGGGAATGGAGCATGGCTTCACACCTCCACCGAGAAGCACGGCTCTGCCCCAGCCTGGTGAGCCGCATTACCTTCCCTGCTTTGCAGATCAACTAAGCACAGTGAAGGGACCCCAGTCCAGACAAGCTGCCAGCAGGTCTCAGCCCCACAGCAGGCCTCTGGCTCTGTCACTATTTAGTAGGTAGTTACTGGTGTTTAGAGTGCAAGTTACTGTGTCTCTCAGGGGAAGCACGAAGATGGGTGTAGACACAGCCCCGGACACAAAAAGCTTAGAGTCTGGTGTGATGATGGCCTCAAATCCCTGTGCACAAGCACCAGCCCTCCTGGGGGGGGGGGGGCGCCTTGCCGTCTCTACGTGAGCCCAGGTCTGTGCTCTCTAGGGCAGTGGGCTACACCGTGCGTTCCCTCACTGCACGGCCCCGTGTTTCAGGGCATGAACTACCTGGAAGACCGGCGCTTGGTGCACCGTGACCTGGCAGCCAGGAATGTCCTGGTGAAGACGCCACAGCACGTCAAGATCACCGATTTTGGGCTGGCCAAGCTGCTGGGCGCCGAGGAGAAAGAATATCACGCGGAAGGAGGCAAAGTAAGAGGCTGCCTGGCAGACCAGCAAGCGTTTTCTTGCCAGCAAATTGACCCGTGTAGGGGACATCCTTAGAACGTTCTGGGTGAGGTCACAGCCGCTGACCCCGACACCTGGCTCTAGCCAGGGTCTTCTTCTGGCAGCGCAGCCTGCAAGAGCTGCTTTGAGGGCAGGATTTGCCGGGAGAGTGAGTCTAGATGGTTCTATCCTGTCCACAACCATGAGCCAGCTCCATCTTCAGGTGACCGTTAGCCAAGGTTAGGTTCAGCCTCCTGCTCCAGGACATCGCACCCTTCAGAGGAGCACCTGGGGAATGTCACAGCTAATTTGGTGGCACACAGGTATTGAGGACATCTCAGAAATATGGAACCCCCTCCCCGCCCCGTGCTGTTCCTCGAGCTCCCCAGGGTCTCTGTGACTCTTGTAGAGTTGGCTGTCTGCTCCCAGACAGGCTTGGGGGTCCTCTCTCCCAGCACTGGGGGTGCAGGTCCCCTGCTTGGCCCACCAGAAGTTCCGAATCAGCTGTACCCCCTCGTGAGCTTCGCGCTGGCCTCTACGGCTCCAAGTGGCTGACCTCTGCAAACCACCCTAACCATGACCTCTGCAAACACCCCTAAACATGAGGTGGCTAGGACCACGGTGCCTGGCCAGGGTCCCCAGCCCCCAGCACATGCGCCCAGCTCACCAGGGCAGCCCCCAGGTCTGCTGAGGTCCTGAGCTGAGGGTTTATGAAACCGCATGTGGGGACCAACGGAATAGCCCTGTCTTCTACCAGATTTTAAACTTGCTCCTGGGGTCCCGGAGTGCAGGGGCCTGGCTCCCCCACCTTTGTCACTCGTAATTTGTTCCCACGTGGTCTAGTTTTTTTTCAACAGAGGGAAGCTAACGGTTACCTAATTCCTTTGTCCCTCATCATTCCAAGGTGCCTATCAAGTGGATGGCTTTGGAATCCATTTTACACCGAATTTATACCCACCAAAGTGACGTCTGGAGCTATGGTGAGTCAAAAGCTTGATGCTAATGAGTGCGTACTGAGACTAAGTCAGCTTGTATGGTTTGTTGATTTACATTATATGCTCTGTTGTCCAAATACTATCTTCCGAGACAATGGCTAATAATAGTGTCATCGTTGCTGTCTATTATGCTAAGAGCAAGACAAAAAGAAATTGAGTCTAACTACCACACTCCGTGTCTCTGGAAACATCCGTGAACTTGTCAAGAGGAGGTAACGGAGGGAGAGAGAGCTTGGACTTAGGAAATGCCTGTACCTGCCACATCAAACTGATCTTGACCTCTTGCCACGGATTTGAAGTGAACCAAAGGCAGATGACAAATGGGGATTCATGGGGAAGAGTTTTCGGGTAGAGAAATGAGGTTTTGGGATGGACTAACTCAGTGGCTATTGTGTCTTGCAGTGAATGTGGTCTTTGTGTACCAGAGAGAATGACTTGACAAGAGTGCATTGTGCGGATGTGTCTGGGGAAAAAAAAACAAGCAAGGGAAATAGTTATTGCTTGCGGTTCTAGTGAGGACAGCTCATCAGGACTGATTCTCTGTTTTCCCCTCCAAACCCCCCCGCCGTGACCCTGCACAGGCCTGTGCCCCTCCTCGCAAACACTCCTTTCCCACTCTTGCCTCATTGCCTTGTACGAAGGACGTCCGGAGCCTACAAGGGCCTTGCCACTTAAGAAATTGTCCCTGGCACATTTCACTAAGCACCTGCACCTGTTCACCGTCCACCCTCACAAGCCCAGCCATCTGTTGGAAGGCTGCAAAACAGCTCATCGAATACACTTACCTATTATCTGTCTGTTTCCACTGTTTATCAATTTCCACCATTATCTGTCTATTTCCACTATTAAAGCAAGGAGTGAAGGGGAAGGGCCACCCCCCTCCATAGAAATGGGTATTTGGGGAGAGCAATATTGAAACAAATTCCCAAGAGTAATTTAGTTATTATCACAAAAACAAATCATTCAGGATATCATCCGTTTAGTGTTTTTTTCATAGTATTATTAACTTCCTAATATTCTAAATGTACTTTAATTTCACGGATCTTTGTCTCCTGCTAAGAACGCAAGCTTTACAAAGACAGAGATCTCTGTGGGTGAATAAGTGAATTTTTACCATGCCTGTGAGCTGAGCTGCTTGCAATTAATGAGCTAGATGAGGAAATAAAGCTATTCTGATGCCTTGTTAGTTTAGTCATTTCCAAGATATGTCTACTCCCCAAGAGGGAAGGGAGGAAATGCTTCTTTTCCTGATCCTGAATCCCATCCAAAGGCATCCCCCTTGTCACCTCCCTCCCTCAGTGACACCATAGCAAGAGTTGCTGTGGGTCTTTTCTCTTCCTGTTCTGCACACACATTCATCTATTCTCCAGACGACAGGCAAAAAATACTTTTAAATGGCAAGAGACTTTTGCCTTTCTGGTTACCATCCCTCTTTGGCTTTCCACATATGTTGCAAATAAGACCTGAGCTCCTCAGCACAGTGGGTCAGATCATAGTCACAAGGGGTCTGGCCCATCCAGGATCACGTGGCCGCATTTCCCTTCTTGCCACTGATATGAGCCAACTCACAGTCCATAGCTGGTCCACGTTTGTTGAATAGATGAGCACTCTCTCAAATTCTGTGACTTAATACCTTTGAATGACCATGACCAGGACCAGAGAGTCCGCATCACCACGCGGTCGTGTGGGTTTCATTTCAGTGGAAAGTGTGTGGTCAGTGATTAGGAGAGTTCTGCTGTCACTGGCAGGATACTGGGATTGTTAAACCGTAAGCCTGAAGTTTTAGTTTAAAACACATATCCTGTTACACACATCCCCTAGTCTCCACTCAAGACAAAATATTTTAATAAAGTAGGAATGTATGTGTTGAAAAGAGAATCTGCCCCGTTTCAGGCCCACTCAACAGCCACGACCAGGTATATATGCTACTTTCTCTTCCAGTATTTGTTCCAAAACCTGGAAAGCTTGACTTCCCAGGGGAATTCAGTGTGCACGTTTAAACCTTTTTTAATGTTTATTTTTGAGAGGGAGCACAGGCGGGGGAGGGGCAGAGAGAGAGGGAGACACAGAATCCAAAACAGGCTCCAGGCTCTGAGCTGTGAGCACAGAGCCTGAAACGGGGCTTGAACCCACGAACCCTGAGATCATAACCTGAGCTGAAGTCGGACACTTAACCGACTGAGCCCCCCAGACGCCCCTCAATGTGCATGTTTAAACACAATGTCTAAACCTAGTTAGAGGAGAATTAATTGACTTCATAGATCTGGAGATGAGATTTTATTTTTTCATCCAGTCCATACTGACACTGGTGAGGAAGGACAGAAGAATCTACTTTCTTGCCTTCATTTTTCACTGAAGCATGTTGTATATTCAGTCCCTTCAGTTCGGGGATGGCCTCTGGATGATCCAAGCAGACCTGTGGTAACACATAGCTAGAGGCCAGCTCTAAAGAAAGTCTGTCATCAGACCAATCGGTTTATCAGGAAACTGCCAGGATCCTATGTCTCCCCGTGTAGTCTGGGCTCAGTCCCACTGAACTCCTCCCTCAGCCACCCCGGTGCTCCTTTGCTGTCCAGGTTTCTAGAGCAGAGAATTACATCAAGGGAGGCACAGAGATGGAAGGATCGTCAAATTCAGGGATGGTCTGGAAAAACACCAATTCTAAAACTGCTTTGATTTTTTTGTTTTGTTTTGTTTTTTAATCATGATAATTGATCACTTTTTGAAATAAAAGGGATGTTGTTTTTAGGTTTGTTAAAAAGACCATAGGGTTTTCTGGTTTCTAATTTTTATTATTATTTTTTTAATTTTAATGTTTGTTTGCTTATTTATTTATTTGAGAGAGACAGAGCGTGAACAGGGGAGGAGCAGAGAGATTGGGAGATGCAGATCTGAAGCAGGCTCCAGGCTCTGAGCTGTCAGCACAGAGCCGGATGTGGGGCTCGAACTCACAAACCGCGAGATTATGACCCAAGCCGAAGTTGGACGCTCAACCGACTAAGCCCCCCAGGCGCCCCCAGTTTTTATTATTATTTTAAAACGTGCAGGGTATACAACCTTGCTTGTAGGTGTCCGTCTTCCGCAGATCCAGGTCTCTTAGGGCAGGTGTGTGAGTGTGTGACTCCTCCCTTGCACAATAACACATATGTCATTACAGTGGCTGTGTTGTCATCGTTGCTGTTACTAAAGTTTACCATTTATTGACCACTTACTATTCACCTGGCCGTGTCTGAACATTTCAGTTGTGTTATCTCCTTTGATCTGCACAACTATGTTCTAAGACACATGCTGTTATTAACCCACTTTACCAAAAGGTAAACTGAGGCTTCTAGCACTCAAGCTAATGGCCCAAAGTCACAGGAACATGGGCTTTTAAATGTTAGAATCAGTTAAATGACGACTAAAGACAAGGTGTTGTGATTATTATCATCTCATAAAGCAACGATTTCATCTTCTCAGGAGTCACCGTTTGGGAGTTGATGACCTTTGGGTCTAAACCTTACGACGGAATCCCCGCGAGTGAGATCTCGACCATCCTGGAGAAAGGAGAGCGCCTCCCGCAGCCGCCCATATGCACTATCGATGTCTACATGATCATGGTCAAGTGTGAGTGACTGCTATGGCCATCCACTCTTGCCTAGCTGGACCGTGGCACTCAGAGTCCCTTGTTGTGGGTCAAACATTGAGACCTCGGATTCTCTGAAAAAAATACTGTCAGATTCTTTACAGCAGGCGCTCAAGTCCAGGAACCTCTGTACATACCCCTCCCAACATTCTTCAGGAAGCACTTGCTTGACCCATTGAGCACTGTGACCTGGCATGTGCCCATGTTTGCAAGCAAGTAAATAAAATCAAATTCCTCCATAAGCCGTTACACCAAAATATCCTAGTCTCTGAGTTGCTCATGAAAAAGGCGCTCTGCATTTTGAGGCCCGTTACCGGAGAGACAGAATGTTTTTAAACGGCCAACAATGAGTAAGCACATGAGGCCCACAGAATCAACATGTGTGCCTGGACTTCAGCCTTTCAAATAACAGATCAATGTGAGGTCTCGTGCAATGTAGCAAGCACACATTTTAATCTAAGTAAGAGTGTGTAATGTGATGATGCTATTATTCCCTGAGACCCTCGAGTTCAGTAGGCTTAGAAGGTAACATTACTCTTAGAAAAGAAGGGAGCATAGGGAGTATGATAGAGCGCAGTTGATGTAAATATTAATGCCTTTCTGAACTTCAGACCACAGAGTTAACCTACTTTAACTTCCTCGCTTTGGGCCATGGAATCTGGGGCCCAGAGAGGTTACGTGATCCATCTAAGGTCACTAGCAGTCTGTCCTAAAATAGCTTGACATCCTGCTGGTAGAGAGTAAATGTGAACCCTCAAGAGACGCGAGGATTTCCAGCTGAGAGCTGTTCCTCCAGCCTGTTTGGTCCCGACTTAGATCATTGCGTAATCAAATGTGCTCGCGGGGTGAACAAAAGAGTCCTAAGGAAGACTCGGGAACACCCCCCTCGCTTGCGCGCTTGGTCACTGAACATGTAGGACAGCGGGAGTACCAGGGTGTGCAGTTCCCAAACCCTGAGGCTCTTAAAGTCCCTAACTTGCCCTAAATTGAATCTAGTGTCCAGCCTTGCGAGACTGTCAAGTGAATACAGACGAGCATGAACGTCCAGTGAGGACTTTTTGCCGGAGAGCCTGGACGCCGGGCTGCCTACAGTCAGAGTAGTTCACAAACAGAGCTGCGTCCATGGCTACTGGGTCACTGGCGGCGAAACTCTCAGAAGAGCAGCCATAGAAAGAGGATTATTCTGTTGTTCTGATTCCAGTGTACTATGGCCCCCCGGGTCTGTGGATCGTGATCAGCGCTCGTTTGCCAAGACAAAAACGTCCTCCACAGAGATTAGGTTTCTGCATCCCTTATTTGGCTACAGGGAGGCCACTGTAAATGCTCTCATGAAGCAGGGCCACCTACATCATTTGTTTCAGCGTCTGACTGTAACGTTTTCCTCGTTCCTTCCCCAGGCTGGATGATAGACGCAGACAGTCGCCCGAAATTCCGTGAGTTGATCCTCGAATTCTCCAAAATGGCCCGAGATCCCCAGCGCTACCTTGTCATCCAGGTACCAGATCACGGTCTGAACTTCCGCTGGGAAAAGCCCCTCTGATGGGCATCAGATGTCACCATGTTCCATCGAGGGCCGCCCCAGCCTCCCTGTCTCCCAGGTCCCATCCTTAAATCCTCAGCGCACTATAGTGAGCCTCAAACTACGAGAGGAGTTCGTGTGTGGTGCCTCCAACTTCATTTGCCATTCCCTTCCGAAGTCTAGTATCCAGACACCCCCTTTCCACCTGTCATCTTTATACTTCAGAGAACCAGAGCCATAGCGCGGCCTGACGGAGAAGCAGGACTTGGTGGCTTCAGATCCCTGACTCTCCGCTTCCCACTTTAGGTTAACAAAACCAAACTCACGGGGCTGTTTTAATTAAGACGGTGAAGTAGCGAATGTAAAACATATTGCATAGGACCCACAGGTTCTGCTTAGCACTTTCAGGTGTGCTGGGGGGTGGGCGAGAGGGGGTCTGCACATACCTCCGAGCAAGCGATTCTCTGATGACACCAGCCAAGTGTCTCTCCCCAAATCTCCGTGTGTCCACCAGCCTGGAAGCTTTCTGAGCCTGGTCCTTCTGGCTTTTTATGGAGCCTTCTTTAAACAGGCATGATTGATTAAAACAGATTCCACCTCCAGCCCCTCCCCCCTTCCAGGACATCAGGGGTGAGGCTGATAGTTCCAGTCCGTGGGTGTGGTCCTAAAGCCACTCATTAATGTAGCAAAAGACACCTTTGCAGAGCTCATCACTTAGGAAATGCCTGGAGTTTAAGAGTTCTGCTTAAGAGTAGGGACAAATTTTTATTGTAAATTATCACAGCACCTAACAGCAGTAAATGCTCCTGTCCCTTTCTTCTTCCTCTTAAGCTGTTTCTGTTTTATTCAGGGTCTTTATTTTACGTTATGTTTATTTATTTTTTTTAAGAAAGAGAGGGGGGAGAGAGAGTGTGAGCATGCATAAGCAGGGGAGGGGGCCGGAGAGAGGGAGAGAGAGAGAATCCCAAGCTGGCTCTGTGCTGACATTGTAGGACCCGTTGCAGGGCTCGATCTCATGAACCGTGAGATCATGACCTGAGCCGAAATCAAGGGTCAGACGCTTAACCCATTGAGCCTCCCACCCAGGCACCCCTCATCCAAGGCCTTTTAAACATCAAAGAACTTTTAGTATTTTAACGTCAGTAGGAGAGGGAAGGAAGCAGCTAGACTTCTGAGAACCAGGGTGATTTTATATAACGAAATTGGCGACCAAATAGGCATCCCTGTTTGTGACCACAGATCCCTACTCCCCCGGGCAGGAAGCAGACTAGCACCTCTCTGGGCCTCACTAACTGTCTCAAAATCTCTGCACCAGGGAGATGAGAGAATGCACCTGCCAAGCCCTACGGACTCCAATTTTTACCGCGCCCTGATGGACGAGGAGGACATGGAGGATGTTGTAGACGCTGACGAGTACCTCATCCCCCAGCAGGGCTTCTTCCACAGCCCCTCCACATCCCGGACCCCCCTCCTGAGTTCTCTGGTAGGCAACATCACTCGCGCTCGAGCTGTGTCCACTGGTTTGAATGACATGTTGAGGGAAAACGATGCCCCTCTGGTGGAACTTACATAGAGACAAAGAAGTAAATCTTAACCGAATGGTCAAGCCAACGTCAGAATGAACCAGTTACGTGTATTAATTATTTTATTGTGTTGCCACTACTGGATCATAACCTTTTTGGATCTACCAAGGACTGGAATTAAATCAGAACGAAGCCTAGTTTTCTCAAGCTACTGGGTGAAGACAAAATTAAGCACCGTTAATCATATCCCCTAAATGAGACCCACCATTCAGTGGAAATGGGAGAGAACAGGCAAGCGTACGCTATGCAGCTTTTTGGTTTTGTTGTTTATCTTTTGTTTGTTTAACTTTTTCAGAGTGCCACCAGCAACAATTCCACCGTGACTTGCATCGATAGAAATGGGGTACGTATGAACACCCAAGAAACCAGGATTACACCACAGCTCTGGATCATGGCTCCCTTCGACATAGAAAATGCCCGTCTTCACCCAACTGATCTTGATTTTTTCCTTCCTATGTCTCCTTCCTTTCTTCCCTGGGTGGTTTCTCTGACCCCTACCCTGAGGCCAGTAGTAGCTATGGCGTATGGCAGTGCTGCTCAGTGTGTGGTGGGTGAACTTGGGGCAGTGCCATCACCAGCAGTTTGTGAGAGATGCAAACTGTCCAGCCAGTGGCCTGGACCGACTAGAATAGGAATGCTGGGGGCAGAGCCAGCCATCTGTGTTTGAGCCGGTAGGTGATGCTGACGCTCGATCATATGAAGCCTTGATCCAGACCCATATTTACCAAGAGAGAAGCGACCGGCCACATGGGTCTACTTCAGTTTAAATTGGTGACCACACTGAAGAGAACAGATGACAGGACGTTTCCACCGTTGCCAAAAGCCCTGCTTCAGAGCACTGACCAGGTCCTTGCCACTCGCTCTGTAGTGTGCGGGCTGGCGGCACTGGCATCACCCAGGGGCTTGCCGGACATGCAGAGTCTCAGGCCCTCCCTGGAGCCTACTGAGTCAGAATCTGCATTTTACAAAATCTCAGGTGATTTTTATACACATTGAAGTCGGGGCAACACCGACCAGTAACCTTGCCTTATTCCCTCCCCTCAGAGCTGCCCCCTCAAGGAAGACAGCTTTTTGCAGCGGTACAGTTCAGACCCCACTGGCACCTTGATTGAGGACAACATGGATGACAGCTTCCTCCCAGCGCCTGGTGAGTGGCTAACCCCGGAAAGGGTCGTGCGGCTTCCCCGGGCAGCAGCGAATCCCCAGCCACTGGTGCCTGGAGTGTGTGCTTCCTTCAGGCTACCAGGCGTGGGGACTCTGGAAAATTCGCAGACACAGTGAGTGAGAGGCAGAGAAATACAAACCGACTGAGCACACGTGCGGGTCTTTGTGAGGAGTTCAAGCCACGTCCAAGTCGGAGATGTGCTTTTAGAGTCAGTCGGAATAATTTGAAGTCCTAGAATTCAAGTCCTCGAATCTGAAGCAAGCATCGAAGATGTGTGTATGCGTGTGTATGATTGTGTGTGTGTCAATGAGTGTGTGAGCACATGTGACAGTTTTGATCCTGGCTCCATTCTTGGCCTATGAAATATATTTTCAAAAATTTTTTAATGTTTATTTATTTTTGAGACAGAGCATGAGCAGGGGAGGGACAAAGAGAGAGGGAGACACAGAATCTGAAGCAGGCTGCTGGCTCTGAGCTATGAGCACAGAGCCCGACACGGGGCTCGAACCCACGAACCCTGAGATCGTGGTCTGAGCCAAAGTCAGACGCTTAACTGACTCAGCCACCCAGGCGCCTGAAATGTGTATTTTCTTAATCTGAGCTTTATCCCCAGATGTTCCATACCTTGTGCACACATACGCCTCAAGGCCAGCCATCCTTTTGCAGACTTTAAATTGGCAGGAGACAAACGTTTCCACCACTTTGAGCAATACAGAAAGGAACATCATTTATTTTGCAGCAACAGCCAGAGAGTCGTCCCTGCGGCTGTCCCTAAGCTTGGGCTCCTTGGGGAAGAATGTTGATGGATTCAGATCATCCAGCGGAATCGTGCTCGGGACGACGGCTTTGCTGATTACTTCACCTCTGATTTCTTTTCCATTCCAGAATACATAAACCAGTCCGTTCCCAAGAGGCCTGCAGGTTCTGTCCAGAATCCCGTGTATCACAATCAGCCTCTAAATCCAGCTCCTGGCAGAGACCCTCACTACCAGAATCCCCACAGCAACGCGGTGAGCAACCCAGAGTATCTCAACACCCACCCGACCTGTGTCAGCGGTGTGCTTGACAGCCCTGCGCTCTGGGCCCAGAAAGGCAGCCACCAGATTAGCCTGGACAACCCTGACTACCAGCAGGACTTTTTTCCCAAGGAAGCCAAGTCAAACGGCCTCTTTAAGGGGCCTGCGGCTGAAAATGCAGACTACCTGAGGGTAGCAGCACCCAGCAGTGAATTTATTGGAGCATGACCACGGAGGACAGCATTGGCCACAACAGTCCCCGATGTGTCAGCCCCTGGGTCAAACCACGGCAGCTACTCCAGTGCTGATAGTCATGCCCACGTCAACTCTTGGACTCATGGACTGGGTCCGCCATATTTGCTCCGATGGACCCATCGTTCTCCCAGGAGGTGCCCCCAACTTGGATGCACTTTGGGGAAGTCTCTGGGACATTCCTTTGTTTTCAAACTGTGAGGCCTCCTCAAAAAGGCGTCCAGCAAGAATACCGTCTCTTTGAGCAGAAGTTCGCCTTGCAGGGAGATACATCTGAGGAAGACACCTGTATAAGGAGTTTTATTGCTTGGGGGCCCTTGGGGTTTTTCATTGTCATTGTTGATGTTGTTGTTAATGGGTGTTTCCATGAGGAAGAAGCTTGCCCGTGACAACTTGCTGCTCTGAGTTGATCCGGGCCCAACTGTGACCAAGTAGCCAGGGTCGGCGTCTTCCAGCTAACATTTGATTCCACTGACTCTGCTCTGTGATTCTTCCACTGCAAGACAATTAACAAAACTAGAAGTGCTCTATGTCCTGAGCAGGACTTACTGGTACTGTATCAAATCATAGCAGGTACGAGAGGATAAAGCCACTCTGAACCCTTCCTGACTGGAGAAGAAATGGCGGGGGGAGAACTCTTCTTCGGACTTCTTTTTATACAAGTTCCTTCACGGTACTTACTCTCCATTGGTTGTCCAGTGTTTTCTAGTTAGAAGTATTAGACTTACTTGTTTCTTTTCCATTCCACTGAAACCCAGTATGCATTCCCAGTCAGTAAGAGGAGATGGTACATCAAACCATATCCAGATTAGCTCATATTTAGACCAGTAGCCTTCAGTCAAGGTGGAACAATAATGCAAAAGCTCACACAAGAACATGGCTCTGAGATTTGAGTCTCAGAGGAAATACATCAAGTCCCTTAGGGGTCAAGGAGTGGGAGTATATCAGGACACTGTAGAGGTAAAGCCATGCCTAAAACATGTTTAGCCTCCCACCCCCATGCCCCACTATCAGATTAGGCTACTTACAGGAGATAATTTTCTTTTTATGTCACTTTAGAAGATTTTTGCTCAAAGGGTACTTTTTTCCTCTCTGGTGAGCTGCCCCCAAAGCCCCTCGTCGCTCTTCGGGGAATGAAGGGACCCAGGCTCTGGGGCCCTATGCAGGAGCATACTTCAGCCCTCGCCGCTGGGGGGCGCACTTTATAGGTGAAAATAAAGATGACATTATATATAGAGGAATGAAAGTGGTAAAGATGAAATCAGAGTTTGAAATTGCTGACAACGCCTTAACAACATCTACGGGTATTTTAGAAAAAAAAAAAGTTCCCCCTTAAGACAATTACCCTGTTATTGGAAGACGCAGTGAATTTAGGACGCGACGTATTTTTCCAACCTGTGTCCCGGCAGTCTGATCAGTTCACGGCAGTGCTTCGTGCATGGTGTTTTAACCACTCTTAGTCAACATCCAGCTTATCAAGGGAAGAATGTTGCAGACAGTATTTCCGGCCAACAGATGTGTTCAGCCACACACACACACACACACACACACACACACACAATTGTCCTTTTGCTGTTAAATTATTGACTCTCCAGTCCTGGCCGCACAGCTTTGTTACCAAAATATTGATCTTGTCCCAATGGTATTCAATACTCTGAAGCAAGTATCCCGGCCCAGCGTAAGCACTCAAGATATAATAAAAATAAATAAAACATAATCCCTGATTCCAAGAAAGTCACAATTTAGCCCAGGTAATTGACTCATACATGCCAACCTTAAAGCAACATGATGGATGCCAGGCAAGATAGGTCATCCGAGCACAGATAGCACAGAGTAGGGGATAGTGGATGGATCCTTCTGGGGGGACCTGGAAGGCTCCTCGGGGACAGAGTGGTGGAGCTGCGCCAAAACATGACCAGGGTCTTAGCTACAGGGGAAATGGGAAGTATGTTCCCAACAGAGGAAAACTTGACCAAGAAAGCATTGGCCAGAGGAACCACTAATGACGTGAGGGAAAGGCTGCCATAGGTCGTGTTTCCAAGCTGTCCCTTTAAGCCTGGGGACTAGCCGGTAGCTTTCCCCAAGTGCCCTACACGTGGGTCCTTCTGGGAAGCTGAAAATGATTCGTGAAAAGATTAAACATCGTTCTAAGAATCTAAAATTCTGTGCCATTGTCTGTAAACCACTTTTGTTACTTATTCACCTCAGAACATAAATATTTTGGTCAGAAGTTTGTTCAGCCCCAGGGAATGGAATGATGCGCATTTTGTTACCACTTACTCGTCTAGAAGCGAGTGACTGATGAGAGGAGCAACTGAATGTGTCAGTCCGACGGCAGCAGTTAAATCCTAGTATTTTTGTAATTTGCAATATTTTACTATAACATAATAAAACAGCAAAAACTATTCAAGCTTTTTCTTTTTTGTAGTTCAGTTTTCCTGCACCACATAGAGTTGCTCAGTTCTCTTCATTGTAGGACTGCGTTTTCCCAGAATGTCCTCACTATGGCCCATCAGGGAGGTGCGAAGGGGGCGTGTAGATGCTTCAGAGCCTGGGAATGCAGAGCCCGAGTCAAGGGCTCCGGCCATCACTGTGGGCAGACTAGGAGAGGACTCCCCACAGCACCAGTATCTCCAGTTCGTGGCCCTGATTGGCCAGGCTTCAAAGCTTCTGCACTGTCTCTTCAGTTGCTCCTTGTTGACACTGGGTTCGAAGACCCAAGAGAGAGCCTGTTCCTTCCTCAGTCAGTTCCTGGAGAACGTTCCCCATGGCCCCACCTCAGATCTGGCCTTTGGAAACAGTTTAGCGAAAAGGAATAGCTGGAAGCGAACACTTACACTGGGCCGGGGTCCTCACACGTCTTGTATAGACTTTAAGGGGTCCCTGCAGTCATACTCTATGAAAAATGCTCCATCACCTCACAAAGTAAAAACGATGAATCTTCCAAGTTCCAGATTTGCCGAGTCCCGGTTGTCACTGGTTTTATAACCAGGAGCACTGTGGAGGCACCGTAATGCTTCCCCATTAATAACAAGGCTTAGGTATTTGTTGAAAGAGCTTCATTTAGGCCTGAAAGATTCTGACTTAATTTGGCTCAGGTGCAGCCTGGGCGTCTCAGAGCTTCCTCAGGTTATTCTGATGAGCACCAAAGGTTTGGCAACCACTGGTATAAAGGAAAGGACTATGGGGAGACCTGACCCTTGGCTGGGGGCATCCTGCTGGCCCGTTGCACGCTTGCCGGACCTCAGGTTATGCAAGCAGGGCTGAAGCTGTTGGGTTATGGTGACTCGCAGATCTCACCCTTGCTGCCAACCAGAAGCATCTGGTGAGCTTAAAAAGAAGGGGCAGGGTCCCCGCAGACCATTGTAAGTGGACTCTCGGGGCCTCCCCATGTGATCCCAGTGGGCAAGCAGAGTTGAAACCCTCATCTCTAAGATGACCTGCAGATGTCTATACCATGCCCCCAAGTCAAGGCAGAATTAGAAAAGCCTGAGTCAGGTAAAGGGAGGTGGTTGAGTCCTTAGTATTCCTGAGACTTGGCTGCTAGTGACCATTCCAAAGCCTCTAATTCTTGGTCACCAGCAGCTTACCCTAAAAGTGGCAAATACCCAAATCAGAGCCTCAATAAAGCTCTGAAACCACTCGCGTTTTCTAAGAAGTTAGAAAAATCAGCCTCTTCTGCAGGGAACAAGGTGTTCGCTCCAAGTGACAGCTGGTGGAATTGCCCTCGACCGCCTACTTTGCATTTCTTTCTTTTGATAAGTGAACGTTTTTATTACAACCTAATGATCTGTTTATAGACCCTTGCCCAGGGGCTGTAAAACCTTACTGAAAATAAATCCCTGCCTCTATTACCAGCCCCACCTTGTCATATCAGGGGCATACATTTTTGTGCTCTGAAAGACACCTTCAGATAGGGTTTGTAAATGTTAGTCTATTTTTGTAACTTGTTTGAAGACGATCTGCCTCTCATGTAGCACTGAACTATGTAAGGTAGGTTTTTAGAACAACTCATTTTTCTACTAAAAGTTAGGAAGAGTGAAACAGAATCAAAATTGGAAACTGAAATCTTTGTTTGAAGGGATTTAATTTATAATTTAAGCAAGGGAATTCTCTTCCTTATAAAAAGGCACAGCCTCATTTCAGAGCTAAGTTAGGTCATTGTCCTGATAAAGAGGAATCATGCTTTTTATATTTATAAAATGAGAAAAGGTAAAAAGCACACATGGTTTAGTCTTCCTCTAACACAGGCTCTCTCAGTGTTAGAGGAAAAGAATGACTTTGTAATCGCTATCACCAATGCAACCAACTGCAAGCTACACCCTATTCAACTGCCAGCATGATCCTGTTGATGTAAAAAAAAAAAAAAAAAAGCAATAATATAGCACTTTGTTGGCTTATATATACTAATCTGACTTTGATACAAATTATTCTATTTTTATATTTACACTTGATATGCACTTACCAATAGGCTAGACATATCTGCTAAGCCCTAATAATGTACAGCATGTTTTGGTTACTCAGTACGGTGGTGAAGTCCATGTTTCTTTCCCAAGCCTTCTCATCACCCAACCTGCCCATCCCAGAAAAAGTGTTCTCAGTCCCTGGCTGCACATTGAACCTTGGGGAGCTTTTGAAACTAGTAAGGTCCAGCCACACCTCAGACCAATTCGATACAAATCTGTATGGGTGAAATCCAGGCATCCGTGCTTTTGAAAACTCCTAAGGGTCATTCTGATGGGCAGCCAGGTTGAGAATCACCAATCTAGGTGCCTGGACAACTCAATGCTTCAAGGACCTCAGTGCCCGTTGCTGGGGAACAGGACTATGGGTGGATGGAGGCTCCATGACAAGCTGCCCAAGCACTAGAAGGGCGAGGTTAACCAATTGATGAAAAGGGAAGGAAATATGGAACAGATACCTGTTTCCATTTCCCCTATTAAAGGTGGGCCGGTGGTATAATCAAGATAGGGAGCATGCTTGCTGCTGGTCCAACCAACATGGCACCCGCCCACCGTAACCAAGTAACCTTTATTTCCCCGGAAAGAAGAAAACATTGACATATCAGTTATGCTGTAAAGGGGAGACACAAAGAAGATTGTGTAAGTAGCTGAAAGGCTTTTACAAAAACAAGAGTTCAAGAAAAGGACTCTTGCTTTAAGAAACACTTTTCTATATTTTTCATAAATTGCATCTGGGGGAAAAAAACTGAAGCAATCGGGATTGTTTTCTCTTCATGGTTAAAGCTTCATGGCCATGGTATGTCCTCCAAGGTCACAGGTCTGTCCTGTCTGCCGACAGAAGTTCTTACTATGCACCTCCACTCTATTGCCTAGCATATAACACTTCAAGGGAAAGCATAAATATATTTTTCTTAGGTGCATTTAAGTATTGTTATTTTTAAAGCCTTTTGACCTGATTTGGTTACAAAATAAGCTTATACTGTAGCACCATCTCTTGGAAATGAAGAGATTCCTTAGATCTGATGCCTGATAATCAGGGTGAGCATGTCTGGTTCTCAACAGAAAGCAATACCTTCATTTCTGAAACAAGCACCCAATAGCTTTATGGCTTCTATATACGGTACATCTTAACAATGTAAAGTTTTGCTGTGATGAAAGCAATATGTGTACAAATGGAAAGCAAGATTCTCTTTCATGTGGTTTACACTGTTGATCAGAACATGTGGATTGTATATGGAGTATTAAAAAATTAGATGTATATTGTTCATTGTTCTTGACTTATAAGTACCTTATAAATAATAATATTGTATCCTTTGTTAACAATGCAGTGTTGACAGTAGTTATTAACCATTTCTGACCTACTGTAGATGTTCTTTCCTGATAACTTTTTTCAATTACTTAATAAACTCTATTTTCAGAGCGGTCTTAACTTCAAACACTGAACAAGTGAGCAGAAAGTACAGAGGGTTCCCATAGCCTCCCTGCCCCCACTCCAGCCTCCACGCTCTCCCGTCCACACCCAAGTGGCCTGGGAACTTTTTAATGTTTGGAGGTTTCCCGTGTGTGACTGGGGCTCCTCAGTGCCGTGCTGCATGCCAGCAGCGTGCATTCTGACCGGGGTCGGTAGCGTCTTGGCACTTGCTGCTCGGATCTCCCCTCCCCTGATTTCCTTCATTGCAGAGAAACACACAGCCAAGAGGGGAATTCCTTTATTTTATTTTTATGTTTTTATGCATATAATTTATTGTCCAATTGGCTTCCATACAACACCCGGTGCTCATCCCAAGAAGTGCCCTCCTCCATGCCCATCACCCATTTTCCCGAGAGGGAATTCCCTGATGTACGAGACTTTTCTATGGCAGGCACCAAAGCCAACAGAAGTTTTGTTGTGATTCTGCTAAATCCCAAACGCTAGAAGCCTGAGGAATGAAGAAGGCAGACGCTTGTGTGAGGGCACCCCCCTCCCCATTCCGGGCTGCACAGCTTACACCTTACCATCTGCCTCCCCTACATCTGAGGGCTTTCTCAGTCCATGAGGACTCTGCGAGGCAGAAACACTTACATCCTATGCTTCCCATGAGCCAAGAAAGTAACTCCTAGCACGGAAGGAAATTGTTCTGCCAAGGTTGAGGTAAAAGTTCTGTAAGAACCTAGTTCTCCAGCTAAGTACTTGAGCACGTAAGGGAATAAGCAGTTTTCTCATGTGTACTGACCACAGGGTGAGAGTCGGGGGAGGGGGGGCTGAACCCCTCTCAACTGAAGGAAAGCCACCTTGGTGATAAAGCAGGTGCCAGCACTGGGGAGGAGAGGTCAGCTTCTGGAAACTGAGGACCAGCAGCTGACCAGCTGGGAGGTAAGAGGGCACAGGGCAGGAAGGGGTGGGCCTGCAGTTTTAAGTTGGCTTTAGACCATAGAACTAGCACCTGGAATGGCTGGCCTTGAATCGTCCACAGGGCTTTAGGTTTCTTTGACTTTCAGCGCTCTGGCCCCAGGGAATAAAGCCCCAACTCCCTCTGCCACTGCTTTCTCCTGGACCAGCTGGTCGCCACACAATGCTCCGCCTTGTTTCTGCCGCACAGGGGTACGGAGAGCAGGAAGTGGGGCTTGGCTGGTCCACAACCACCGCTGATCCCTGCAGTGTTGACTCTCATCATTTCCAGGAAAGTTGCAGCTTTGTTTTGGTGTTGTTCATTCCGAAGACCATCGGTCGCCTACGTACAGAGGTGTAAATTGTAAGTCGTGCAGGACTTCAGAATAACTAGGTCCTTGAAGAATCAGCAAATTGGGAACTTTCCAGTTCCCCATGGTGGCCCCAGGCCTCCCTGGCTTCCTGGCCTCCTGAGCTTCCACACGCTGGTATTGTCAGGCACGTTGGGAAGGAATAAGCCTCTGAGAGCCCAAAGCCTTCGATTAGGGGGTTTAGCCCCACGTAGAGAAAAGCAAATGT